GAGACCCGGGCTGGAGTAATACCACGCTGGGTCAAGGCCGTATTGTTTCGAGCACGTTTTTCTGAATATCTGATATTCCTTGGGAATAATCAAGTCCAGGTAAAAAAGTCACCATCTCATAGCCCTGACTGCCTCACTGAGTCGCAAGTAGGTTAACAGTCACATCACCATCTCACTACTGTGTGAACAGGGGTACATTGTAGTTAACAGTCACATCACCATCTCACTACTGTGTGAACAGGGGTACATTGTAGGTGTGAACAGGGGTACAGTCACATCACCATCTCACTACTGTGTGAACAGGGGTACATTGTAGGTTAACAGTCACATCACGATCTCACTACTGTGTGAGGGTACAGGGTCACATCACCATCTCACTCACTGTGTGATTGTATTGTAGTTAAGAGTCACATCACGATCTCACTACTGTGTGAACAGGGGTACATTGTAGGTTAACAGTCACATCACCATCTCTACTACTGTGTGAACACTGTGTGGGATACATTGTAGGTTAACAGTCACATCACCATCTCACTACTGTCACATGAACACAGGGATACATTGTAGGTTAACAGTCACATCACCATCTCACTACTGTGTGAACAGGGGTACATTGTAGGTTAACAGTCACCATCTCACACCATCTCACTACTGTCACATCACCATCTCACTACTGTGTGAACAGGGGTACATTGTAGGTTAACAGTCACATCACCATCTCACTACTGTGTGAACAGGGGTACATTGTAGGTTAACAGTCACACCACCATCTCACTACTGTGTGAACAGGGTACATTGTGAACATATTAGCTCATTAGGTAACATTGGCATGAACACAATAAACATCATGCAAGTCAAGTAACTCCATAGGAATATCATGTCATTTTCATCACACACCACCTACCTTGTACCTGACTCTACAGGTTAACTCTGTACACTATTTGTGTAAACACTCTAGTAACCAACGAACACGTGCTTGGAAACAACCTGAAGGCCTCAGCGTTGGGTAGGTTATTGACTGACCTATTTGCCTCAGTCCTCAAGGACACACGCTATGGTCTATTACAACAACACTGTAATTTACTATCATCTGTATTTCATGCTATCGCTTGCTTTGATGGTTTGAAATTCAACACTACGTATGTACACACAGACGCGCTTTTAAACCAGTGCTACATCACACACATATTGTACACTCTCATGCGAGCTAAATACATGGTGTCTATTCCTAATGCAGAATATTAACCATCCCCAAAACACACGAGTGGTAATCTACAAATGGTATCCTTACTTTATAATTTTAGTGAGTGAGTGAGTTTGGTTTTACGCCGCTTTTAGCAATATTCCAGCAACATCACGGCGGGGACACCAGAGATGGGCTTCACACATTGTACCCATGTGGGGAATCGAACCGGGTCTTCGGCATGACGAGCCAACGCTTTACCCACTAGGCTACCCCCCACCGCCCCGTGGAATCAGCACAGATATCTATGACGTCACAAATATGTGCGTAGTAATACGTTATGTCACAAGCTTGGTGACACAATATTCTTCTGATCACCCAATTGACTGCGTTAGGTCATCTAGTTCCCAGTACGTTTTTCATGTAAAACACATATCGTTGTCAACAAATCTTAGCTTGCGTTTGAAAAATAACAACAAACTCGTGTGGAAACCTTCAATAAACATTTTCAACAACAAATACACTTTAATATTCACGTGACATGTTCTGCTCGCTAACACTGACAGTCGATCGGGGAACTGATGTTGGTATCTTGACTACCTTCTTAAGCCTATGAATTGCTATCTTTCGTTTCATAATCCACTCCATCTGTCATTAACATGAATTTTCTTGGATCAAAGCTCTGACAATACCGTAACCACGGCGGTCAATCCGGACACGATCGTCGATAGATGGGCGTGGCGCCATGTATGTTTACACTGTAAAAGTAGTCCATAAAATTTGCATATGACCTCTAATTTGCATCGATATCCGTATATGACTCCAACGGATACCGAAAATATCCGTTGCCTTTATCCTGCCGAGAACGCTGTACATTGTGTGATGAAAACTGGAATGATCAAGAGGAATGACACAGACAGGCACTAGCTATATTTCGGACAACCGTATGTATCAATCAGAAGACAAAGCTACTCTGTTTTCAGTTTTGCGGCCCTTTATCGTTGATCTAAGACCGCTAAATGTAATTTAAAAATCGAACGAGAACGCGTTAGCGTGAGGTTTCAAATTAAACATTTAGCGGTCTTAAATCAACGATAAAGGACCGCAAAACTGAAACCAGAGTAGTTTATTGATACATACGGTTCTCCTACTACACTGAACTACGTGTATACACATAGACGGCGCTGTTAAACCAGTGATATCACACATCATGACCCACTTACCTTATACCTGACTCAACAGGTGCGCGCCAGACACTGAACTACGTGTCTACACATAGACGGCGCTGTTAAACCAGTGATATCACACATCATGACTCACTTACCTTATACCTGACTCAACAGGTGTGCGCCAGACACTGAACTACGTGTGTACACATAGACGGCGCTGTTAAACCAGTGATATCACACATCATGACCCACTTACCTTATACCTGACTCTACAGGTGTGCGCCAGACACTGAACTACGTGTCTACACATAGACGGCGCTGTTAAACCAGTGATATCACACATAATGACCCACTTACCTTATACCTGACTCAACAGGTGTGCGCCAGACACTGAACTACGTGTGTACACATAGACGGCGCTGTTAAACCAGTGATATCACACATAATGACCCACTTACCTTATACCTGACTCAACAGGTGTGCGCCAGACACTGAACTACGTGTCTACACATAGACGGCGCTGTTAAACCAGTGATATCTCACATAATGACCCACTTACCTTATACCTGACTCAACAGGTGTGCGCCAGACACTGAACTACGTGTGTACACATAGACGGCGCTGTTAAACCAGTGATATCACACATCATGACCCACTTACCTTATACCTGACTCTACAGGTGTGCGCCAGACACTGAACTACGTGTCTACACATAGACGGCGCTGTTAAACCAGTGATATTTCACATCATCACCTGGATCATGTTACGTGCGGAATCTAAGTTTAATTTGTTGCAGCCTTGAGGAGTAAATGGTTTAAACCTGAGTGAATGCGTGTATGAGTAACTGACTGTGGAATAACATTATTTCTGTTATATCATGAAAGAAAAATGTGATGCAGGTGACAGAAGTTTACCACCATCGCAAACGGCAATCACTCAATCAGTGAAGTGTTTTTATAAACCATCATACCTTTACCAATGGATCGTATGTGACAATGAAATGAGTACAAAAAGGTTTTATCGCCAGTTACAGTTAGCAGTTAATGACTGCACCCCTTTATGTTCCCATGCTGGAAGTACAAAAACGACTTGTTAAAATGTTTATCAGTGTATCATATAGCACACGTATGAGTGTAAACAGATATTCCACATCGTGTCTGCATGGTCCGGCTTACCCCAAATCTACTTTGCATGTGGAAGAACGGATGGATGTGTGAGTGAGTGAATATGGCTTTACACCACTTTTAGCACTATTCCAGCAATATCATCGGGGGTATTTCAGAAATGGGTTCACACATTGTACCCATGTGGGGAATCGAACCCGGGTCTTCAGCGTGACGATCGAACGCTTAATTTAACCGATCGGCCACCCCACCGCCCCAGTAGAATGGATGAGAAATCCGCAGAACAGAATCCGTGGTCGTTTTGAGTGAGTTCTGAAGAAGTGTAATACATTGATTAATGTAATCGGTGGTTACAGCATTTACAAAGGGAACGCCACCATCGTGGACGAACGTGTCTTGTGACAGGACAATCAGAAATGCCAGTATGTCTTCAGAATACCAGACTATCATGTTTCATCCAAATCCAAACATACAACACATGCGCATTTATCACACACAAAGACATTAAATCTTTTCAAAATTCGTCTGTATGTATCCGGTTAGGGTGTTAAGTTCGTCATCACCATCACCGTGGACTACATATCAATGGTCGTGTATTACATACAAATGGTCGTGGATTACATACCAATGGTCGTGTATTACATACCAATGGTCGTGGATTACATACTAGTGGTTGTGTATTACATACCAATGGTCTTGTATTGCATACTAGTGGTTGTGTATTACATACCAATGGTCGTGTATTACATACCAATGGTCGTGGATTACATACCAATGGTCGTGTATTACATACTAGTGGTTGTGTATTACATACCAATGGTCGTGGATTACATACCAATGGTTGTGTATTACATACCAATGGTCGTGGGTTACATACCAATGGTCGTGTATTACATACCAATGGTCGTGTATTACATACCAATGGTCGTGTATTACATACCAATTGTCGTGGAGTCCACACTGGCGGAATGTAGGGCATGTATTACTCACGGGCTTTCAATCCACATCAGGTCAACAGCTTGCGATGTAACAAAATCACATTAAATCCAGTTTAATCTCTCATTATGACATTTTAAAATTAACTGACATACAAGATTTAATTTACATTTTGTGCGTTGTGATTACCATCCACGTAAATATTGGAAATGTGTTTGATTTAGTCACAAACATTCTCAAGTATCACAGATATCCTTTAGAGTGATGGCCCATATACCATTTGACGTGTCTGATTATAGAAAGGCTGTACAAGATCATCAGTGAATGTACACAGAACAGTGAAGTTGTCCAAGAGAATGAGTGAGTGAGTATGTCTTTACGCCGCTTTTAGCAATATTCCAGCAATATCATCACGGGGACACCAGAAATGAGCTTCTAACATTGTACCTATGTGAGGAATCGAACCCGACTCTTTGGCGTGACGAGCGAACGCTTCAACCACTTGGCTACCCAACCGCCCCAATCCAAGTAGATGAGCCACACTGCAGTCAACATGTAGCAACAGATTAGTCTGTGGCAATACGGCCAAACAGGTCAGAGAAGTTTTATTCAGTAGTTAAGGCCCAGTGACCCAGAGTACAATTGAAGTTGTCACGAGAGATGAAATTATTGTTTTACATGTGATTTACGGATGGACATCAAATGTTTTATGAAAATGGCAACAGATTTAATATTATCAGCATTATTAGAATTAAGTACATTAGCTGTCGTTTGTGGGGCACCATTAGAGCATTTTAAATACTTCTTTCGGCAGGAAGAGAAGGCCTCACAGACTAATAATAATAATCCATCACATACCATATTGACCTGTCTGAGTAGAAGTTTTATGCCGGCTGACGTCTCTGAGTAAATAACGTATACAGCAGTTGACTTGCCGGAGTAGATACCCATTGTACCAACACACTTGTCCGAGCAGATGATGTATGACATTTGACGTCTCTGAGTAAATAACGTATACAGCAGTTGACTTGCCGGAGTAGATAACTATTGTACCAACACACTTGTCCGAGCAGATGATGTATGACATTTGACGTCTCTGAGTAAATAACGTATACAGCAGTTGACTTGCCGGAGTAGATAACTATTGTACAACACACTTGTCCGAGCAGATGATGTATGGCATTTGACGTCTCTGAGTAAATAACGTATACAGCAGTTGACTTGCCGGAGTAGATAACTATTGTACAACACACTTGTCCGAGCAGATGATGTATGCCAGCTGACGTCTCTGAGTAAATAACGTATACAGCAGTTGACTTGCCGGAGTAGATAACTATTACACCAACACACTTGTCCGAGCAGATGATGTATGCCAGCTGACGTCTCTGAGTAAATAACGTATACAGCAGTTGACTTGCCGGAGTGGATAAACTATTGTATCCAACACACTTGTCCCGAGCAGATGATGTATGCCAGCTGATTTCTCTGAGTAAATAACGTATACAGCAGTTGACTTGCCGGAGTGGATACCTATTGTAAAACAACACACTTGTCCGAGCAGATGATGTATGCCAGCTGACGTCTCTGAGTAAATAACGTATACAGCAGTTGACTTGCCGGAGTAGATAACTATTGTACAACACACTTGTCCGAGCAGATGATGTATGCCAGCTGACGTCTCAGAGTAAATAACGTATACAGCAGTTGACTTGCCGGAGTGGATAACTATTGTACAACACACTTGTCCGAGCAGATGATGTATGCCAGCTGACGTCTCTGAGTAAATAACGTATACAGCAGTTGACTTGCCGGAGTGGATACCTATTGTACCAACACTTGTCCGAGCAGATGATGTATGACATTTGACGTCTATGAGTAAATAACGTATACAGCAGTTGACTTGCCGGAGTGGATACCTATTGTACAACACACTTGTCCGAGCAGATGATGTATGCCAGCTGACGTCTCAGAGTAAATAACGTATACAGCAGTTGACTTGCCGGAGTGGATACCTATTGTACAACACACTTGTCCGAGCAGATGATGTATGGCAGCTGACGTCTCTGAGTAAATAACGAATACAGCAGTTGACTTGCCGGGATGGATACCTATTGTACAACACACTTGTCCGAGCAGATGATGTATGCCAGCTGACGTCTCTGAGTAAATAACGTATACAGCAGTTGACTTGCCGGAGTGGATAACTATTGTACAACACACTTGTCCGAGCAGATGATGTATGACAGCTGACGTCTCTGAGTAAATAACGTATACAGCAGTTGACTTGCCGGAGTGGATACCTATTGTACAACACACTTGTCCGAGCAGATGATGTATGCCAGCTGACGTCTCTGAGTAAATAACGTATACAGCAGTTGACTTGCCGGAGTGGATACCTATTGTACCAACATACTTGTCCCAGCAGATTATTATCTATCTTATTAACACGTTTACCGGTCATCCTCTTGTGCAGTACTCCTGCCCACCAGGTGGGTCTGAAACACAACAATGTGGAGTCATTACTCCCCTGCCTGCAGTTCAGATGAATTCCCACAAAGGTCCTACAAGAAATACACGATATCACATGTTAGATACATATACATATGTATGATACATGAGATACACGACATGATAAATCTGAATGAACAAAATTAATTTGAATCAACGAATCAGCATGGCGATATTCGTATCTGTGTAAACATATCGATTCGAGCGTATTAACACTGTTACAGAAACATATAGCTATAGACATATTGTTGTGAAAATTTGAATGCATCAGCAAGAGCGAATGAGTTGGGTTTTACGCCATATTGAGCAATATTCCAGCAATATCATGGCGGGGGACACCAGAAATGGGCTTCACACATTGTACCCATGTTGGGAGAATCGAACCCGGGTTTTCAGCGTGACGAGCGAACGCTTTAACCACTTGGCTACCCCACCGCCCCGTATCAGCATGAACTTATTGGTATGTAAGTATAGGTATGAATCTATGGATGTGAGCATTTTTTTTCTATTTCCGGCTGTACTTTAACAATCGCAGTTGCTAAATTAACTACCATTTATAGAATGCCATTTATCTATTTACAAAACGTATTGTTCTAAATATATCTAATAGTTTTATTTACTTTAAGAAATCAAACATTGAAAATGATAATTAACATTAGTAAAGAGGTCCTTAACTGTTTTGACATTGAAATATTTATCCCTTGTGATGGAGAAATCAATAGTCAAACAGGGCATGCTTGACCGTGATTCTTTCACCACAAAGGATACAAAACGGAGGATCCTCGCCTTTCAGTGAGTGGGTTAGTTAAAGATCACATGCAACCAAAAAATCAAACATAATTAAAACACAATTATCATTTATTCATGACATATAATATGCATTGCTGATTGTGAAAATCAGCAAAACATATAAACAAAATTATAAGCGTACAGTCGCAAATCAAAAGTGCAATATTTTGTACTTGGGTTTACTTCCCTCGAAACGAAGCACCCCGGATACCGAACCCAGTCAGAGCGGGTGGGCGTGCATTTAAGTGTAACGAAGACTTTCATTGACTTTCATTTTGCATGTCATGTGTACAGGTATCACACTTGCCTGTCTGTGTAATTACATAATGTGACAGAGACAGAACTCAGGTGCACGAGCCATAAATAAATGCGTTTTGTTTATGGTGTATAGCCTGATAGGTGTTCAGTTCAAATGTGGTCAGTGATCGAAGTTGTGTATTGCATATTGTCATTAGCAGACAGGCAGGCAGACACATTTTTACTGCGCATGCGTCATGAGCGCAGTGCAGCGAAACAATCGTTTGAACTCCAATTTCGCGGGTGTTTTTTCATCGCTTTATTTTTCAACTTTATAAGTTAAATTTGCATTTTTGATCATTTGTTACTGTAAGTCCTGACCAAAATGTATCAGAATCTGAAAGTTGTGTTTTACGTTGCATGTGACCTTTAAAATTTAAAGTCACATCGGCAGTACTTCAGCCATATCGTGACTATGAAAGTTGTAATTTTGTGAATCTATACATGCAATAAAAACAAACTTATATACTTACCTGTCTGCGAAGGACAGTAAAATAGATGTACACTTAAAACTAGCATATAACCATAAAACAATATTTCTAACTTTAACGGTACAATATAAATATGGGCTATAGATCGCCAACAACTGAAGGTAGACCACCATACTAGGCGATGATTTGCTTCCTGCATGGACCCTAGCTGGATTTACACCACCCCTTCAACTGTCAGCAATTTAGACAAATCTAGCCGTACATTTAAAAACACTCATATTCTACGAATTAAGAGGTGGTAAGTTTAAACTTACTTAAATTTATTTTGAATGTTTTGGGTCTTACCTACCCTCGCAGGAGGACCCTCACCTTTAAGCAAATATTCATGTGTGTATCTAGTATGGCCTACGCGACAGCGTGGCATGCTGACCTCCTCAAATCTGGAGTAGGTGTAACCAATATAGGCTTTTACTTCATGTAATGTATTGATACCTACTTACGTGTCCCACTTCTTTTGGATCAGATCACGAATATAAGATCTGATGGTAGCTTTATAATCAAGAGTATGGAATAAGAAGTGGTGTCACAGATTTTTTGAGTGCATTTGTCATATCACAGCAATTATCGACGTTCCTTCATATGAAATTTCCCATGCCGACATTTCGATCTGTTACTTAGGTGAAATCCAAAAGACCTCAGAGATGCGAAAATACATGATGAAACTATGGTCCAGTTACCCAAGCGTCACTTTTGAAACCATTCAACTATGTGTAACAGCAATGTGATCCATCGCATCATAGGTATTACCTTTAGAAACCATGGGTAGAATCCTGTTGATGAAGACGCATTCGTGGTGGACCGCCCCGTGCCCTGCTGATAAGTTGCTGCCCACGTCAAGGGCCATGTAGGAGAGATCAGTGTTGTCAGAGGCTGGCCAGTTCACCTTGACGGGGACAGGAGAGTTCGGATCGCTGGATACAGATTTGAGGTGAGGTGAGTTGAAATTGGGTTCAACGTCGTGCCCGAGAATATTCGCTCATATGACGACGTGCATGCGTGTGTATGTGTATGTGCGGCTGCTTGTACTAGCCCAGACTGAAGCTGGTTATATAGTGCTAGCCCACTGAGATACCATGCCGCAGTGAAGCATGAATACCCCACTCAGACACATTATATTGACTCCGAGCCGACCAGTCCTTGTTGTACCCATTAACGCCGAGCGCCAGACAGGGACCAACAAGTACCATATTTTAACGTCTTTTGGTATGGCGCAGTCGGGGATCGAACCCGCGACCTTTCTCTCTCCGGGCGCTGGATACAGATTTGAAACTGTATGATATATTTCGTATCCTTTATAATTAGTGAGTATGGTTTGGGGGGGATACGGAGAAAACGGACCCTAGCGAAAACGGACCCCCCAAAAATTGAGAAAACGGCCACCGCGCTGTAGGGAACGGCTTCCGAACCTAGAGAAAACGGCCTCTGTGCCTAGAGTAAACGGCCAACATAGTTGCACAAAGATCAAAGGAGATTATATGACTATATATATCATAAATAATAGAGATGTACTTCATTGCAGATAAGCTTTTTAAATCTGATTGATTGTTATTTTTTCGATCAAAGTTTGATTGATTGTAGGCTTTACAGGTAAGATTAGATGATGATAGAGAAAAAAGATAATAAGGTAGTGTTTATATTGACGAGCGGATTAGTAGTACTAATTCCAACCTTTGTTCTTGTAGTTCTGCCATGGTCCCTAGTATGGTGATCAACCTTCAGTTGTTGGCAATCTACAGCCTGTTTTCACATTGTATTGTCATCTTTAGTTAAAATGTTTAAAATTTAACGCCTAGTTTTAAATTTATATATGGTTGTTCTTCTGTGCTTCAGTGACAGGTGTTTATAATTTACCTTTAATTATCATGAAATTATAACTTGTTTTCAGTCACGGTATGGCTGAAATATTGCCGGTGTGACCTGAAATTCAGGTCAAGGTATCCGATCACCCTCCCTGTGTACTGACTGACGTGAGAGTGAAAAAACAGGTTAATAAAAGAATTAATAGATCATCTTATCCAATACTTTCACCGACAACCACTGAGTAATGATAACGTCTTCTCGGCCTCGTGTTCATTCAATTATTAATTGTTGACGGGTGAAGGAGTCAAGCCTGAAATAGTCCTTCCCGGTCGGCTGCCGCTACTGTTGAGGAGGTGATGACAGACACCCTTGATCCTGATCAGCCAGCCGGCACCCATTTATATCACATGAAGAAAGAATTGAAATACTGTTATTTGATAGATAAGGTTCTTATTTATTCTAGGTATCTCTTAAGTACATGTATCACCATATTCATTATCAATAACAATAAAGTATGTAAACAAATATAGTATTATAATATATATTGCATTGTTCAGAGACAAACAAATGAAGAGTGGTTTGACGAGCATTCTGCGGCACACAGTCATTCTATTAAGATGTTAGATGTACAATATAATACATAAATACAACTTGTATATATTGCACTTGTATTATGATATTGACATAGAGATGTAAACAAGCAAAATAAACTGCATTTAGTTTTCTGTTAAAAATAAGGGCCTTTTTCTCTAGGCCAAGAGGCCGTTTTCTTTGGGAGCAGTGGCCGTTTTTTCGAATTATTTTTTGGCCGTTTTCGCTGGGGTCTGTTTTCACTATAACTCGTTTTTGGGCACATAAAAAAAACGGCTGGGGGTCTACAAAATAGGGCTTCAGACATTGTACATGTGTGGAATAGGAACTGTTTCTCCGCCTGACGGGCGAACACTTGGCAAGCTCACAATCCCTACACCATTATGGGCATCAATGATATATTTTTAGGATTAACAGGTCTCAGTGGGAGCATGATATTCTGAGAATACATTTGATCTGACTTGAAATGTACATATACATGGACAATAAAAGACAGAGTGAGAGATCTTCCACTAACTCAATCATCTGTTCCAAAAGTATTCATCGGCCTAGTCTCCCACTCACTCACCCGGACTTGGCAAAGTTGGTCCAGTAGGTCATGATGGTCCTGCTGAGTTCCATCTCCTCCTCTGTACATCCCAGAGACTTTTCCAGAACCCAACCAAACACAAAATCAACCTCGTACCAATGGGTTGCTCCAATCCACTGTGGAAACGGACTAACTGATAGTCGATGATTAAAGCTATAGACATAGGTAGGGTTAGCAGGAGAGTACAATCTGTCAAACTCAAGATGAGGACACTTGAAATCCCTATCTGAAGTCATGCGAGTCACGACATCAAAATAGTGAGTGTCCTTTAAAGGGACTTTCTGACTTTCATAAAACAGGCGAAGAGGCTCTCCAATTCCTCTACCGCCAACAAAGTCAAAGGAAAGAAGACTTTCATACTCTCGCTGACTTAAAGTCAATGTTTCTGGTAACTTGGTCACGTTTCTCAATTGATTCAGCATCATTGCCAAATACAGAGTATTCTCGTCTCCTGTAAACCCATGCAATACACTGGTCTGCTTGATGGATCCGCTGGACAGAAGAGTTTTGGGGTCATCGGGAAGGAAGTACCCATCCACAACTGGAACAAATACAAGTTCTTCATCAAACAAAACACGCTGAATATCTGTCATATTTTGTGCATCTGCTGTCTTCAAGCACTCATAGATGTCTGCATCAGTTGAAGATGAAGGGCATTGAAGATGATCAGCAAGATTCTTTATTTTTAATTTTGCTGATTTAGGTACGGTGTATGCCCATGGGCAACTGAGGGTCCCACTCTGCATGATGGCTCTGTCAAACAGGTCACGTGACAGAGGTGACACCAGGTGATGACTCACGCTTGCACCACCAGCACTTTCTCCAAATATGGTGACTCGGGTTGGATCTCCGCCAAAGTTGGCAACATTGTCTTTCACCCACTGCAAGGCTAATCTTTGATCCATCAAGCCCATGTTGCCAGGGATGGTATCTGGGCCAAGGTAGCTGAACCCTAATGGCCCCACTCTGTAATTCATTGAAACAACAATGATGTCATTCTCTGCTGCAATGTATTTCCCTTCATACAGTGGCATTCGTGTAGATCCACTATAAAAACCTCCACCATAGATCCAGACCATCACTGCCAGATTGCCTCCATTGTCTGATGGCACCCACACTGTAAGGTGAAGGCAGTCTTCACTGTAATCGTCGGGCATCTGTTTGTGCTTCTCATCAGTGCTTAGAGCATCTTCAGGTTGGAAACAAGATGGCGTAGGCTTTCGTGCATCCCTAACTTCCGGTCCCCATGACTCTGAAGGCTGAGGATGCTTGAAGCGTAGATCGCCTACAGGAGGCTTGGCATATGGGATTCCATAGAATACGTCAGTGGACTTGCCCAAGACTGACAGTCGTTGTCCTAGGAGTGGTCCATTTAGAGTTGACACTTTCTGAGTCTTAGCCATATGTAACACTGACAACAAGGCCAGAAGCGCCAGTCTCTTTCTTGTCCACATTCTGAAAGAACTAAAAACGATTTCACAAGTACGCTTTTCGGAATGTCAGTTGCTTCTGGATCACTTTCTGATTCATTATGTTGGCTGGTCATAATTTCTTATCACGGGATAAATGATGCTAATAACCCAGATTGTACAAGTTAAATAATGTTATGTTTGTCTAATTCCTTACCACGGGATAAGTGATACTAATAACCCAGATTCCACAAGTTAAATAATGTTATGTTTGTCTAATTCAGTTTAGATCAATATTGCATTTTATCACACTGTTTCTGTTAAGATTCATTATTTACGTCAAATAATGCCCCACCGATTGTCAAAAAATATGAGAAAAAGGTGTTGACCATTGTTCGATGTCCCCATATTTTTATGTATTTTTTCTATTTTTTATTAAAATCTGTAAGGTACCGGTGAGTTTCGGCAACCAGATTAGAGACAAATACAAAACAAATGCAAAAAACAATGGCAAAATGTGCCTCTCGCCAATTTCGAAAAGGAAAGACGAGTTGCTCTTCCCAAGAGAGTCGAAGTACCTGTAGATACAAAGCGGGTATTGCTTCTATCTAGTCCAAAAAACACACATGCAAACCTACATACGAAAACACACACATATATTTTGTTTCTAGTCCATGTACAAGGGGTGCCCTGGGTTGACCGTACAAACTGGGTTGGACGTTTCTGTCTGTCGACCAGTGTGGCGGACAGTGTGTCGGCCTGTCTGTCGGCCTGTCTGTCGACCGGTGTGTCGGACCGGTGTGTCGGACTCGTCTGTCGGCCGGTGTGTCGTCCTGTCTGTCGGACAGTGTGTCGGTCCGTCTGTCGGCCGGTGTGTCAGCCTGTCGGTCGGTGTGCAGTGCTTCCAGATCGTATGGACGACCTTCCAGAGAAACACAGAGGGAAAAGTAGGTCCAGTTTTCGGCCGCATGTTTCTCTGTATTTTGACCACTTTCCAATATCCCCGCGGGCTGTAGTAAATCTTATTATTTATTTAGGGTATTTTGCCTTTAATACAACTGGGTCCATACGTGTAAGTTGTTACACCACTATTAGCAATCCATCTTTTCGTATCCATCGGTGACAACGATTTTTTGTTCAGCCTTATACCATATAACCTATGCTTGTCACTTCTCAGAGTATTCATTTCGTGTTTGAACGTCCGTCTGTGGAATGAGGCCTCTTTGAATTATTCGTGTTTTATTTGGTTTTTTTACGATGTATTTCTTCACACATTTAGCCTTTCATATCTCGCCGCTGTCAGCTTTCTGGATGGAATATATTTAAGGCCTTAATCCGACATACTCTGCAATCGGAGTCCCAGCACACTCGTCTTTCAATTTCCCAGAGTACCTTTGATGGGCATTTTAAAAGTTGAGTTGATGAAGAATAATGACAATTATTCACTCTAACAGTACAGTATTTAAATGGGCTATTGCTTTTGCTCCCTGCATGGACCCTAGCTGGATTCTGTATATAGAAATTATTTTGCAAGTGTAACAGTAAATAAATATAGTCCCCCCCAATGGAACAGCGCAAAGCTAAGTTTGACATTTCATCTAAGCTGAAACCAATAGACTTGTCAGTTTCCGGATACAGAAACCTAGCTGAAACCTACATTCCCCAGTATCCAATAGGTTTCCGCAACAACGGAAACTAAGTCATTTTGCTATCAATGTTTCAGCGACCTGAAACTAAATGGAAACTCATAAAGTCGGTTTCAGTTGTAGAAACCTGACGGAAACCTAGATTTGTTAGTTTCAGTTTTGTAAAGTATGCGGAAACTAGCATTGTCTGTTTCCGGATACTGAAACCTAGCGGAAACCTACATTACCCAGTATCCATTAGGTTTCCGCAAGAATGGAAACTAAGTTATTTTTGCTGTGATTATAGATATACAACTTTTTTTATTCTGTGGAGGCGGCGTTTCGACATAGGTTCTAATGTCGTTGTCAAGCAAGTGTTCACCAGGTTGTGTAGGGCGTGTTCATTGGGATAGTCACTCATATCGTACAGGTGTATGTGTTTCGCCACATACTCGTACACGTCCACGTTTTGAATTTCCATCAATAACGAATTGGTGTCGCATCTATCACCGTATTACTTCTTGAGTTCGTTGTAGAAGTAATACATTAAGTGTTTAGAGATCAAGAATACTCATCCCCACATTGACCGGTCTGTTGAATTTGAGGTGACTCTTGGTCATGTGCAATGCCACTAAGTCATCCTCGAATAGTTTACTTCTGTTGAAGGCTGGGCTCACTATCAGTTTCCTAAGTCTTTCTTGCTCATGAGATCTAGCTAACTTCACATTCACGCGCTTTCTTAAATTCTCCATCGTTTTTCCAAATACCGAGTTGTTCATGAGCTTAAATAGATTCTTTTCAAAATTACTGGTGGCCCGTTTTCTTAAATCCGTGTTCAGTCTTATGTAAGGTTCAATCCAAGGACTTTGATCGAACTTTAGAACTCTATGTATTTTCTTTAGCTTGATACCTAACGACAAGTACAGCTGCAGGTTACGATAGTGAATGATGCATTTAGTTTTATCCATCAAGTTTAGTACGAGTTTTTCCACGTTAGCCAGTTTATTATTTCCCAACACGTTTCGTGATATTAGGACATCAGTCTTTGTCAACCATTAATCGTTTGGGAGCGAGCGGATAACTGTTGTGTGATTGTGTAATTCTCTGGGATATTCCAGGTCAACTTCCAGTATGTAGCCTTTGTTCGAGTCTGACGTAATGCTATTGACGTCATCATCGGGGGTAACCCATTCAAATCCCCGTGTGGTTAAAGAGTCATAGCCCAGCCGTATAGATAACTAGATTAGATAGAGTTTCTGCGAGGCTGTTTTACTCGAGTCATAGCCTTCCACGTATTTATTGTTGGCTTTAGCGTATCGCTTGGCAGCCATCGAAATACCACCACGCAGGCCTTTCTCGATAAACAGGTGCTTGTTGTAATCCGTCAACAGTTTCCACTCAACACCGGTCTTTCATAAACAAGACATCCCAAGAGAGACCCGGGCTGGAGTAACACCACGCTGGGTCTAGACCGTATTGTTTCGAGCACGTTTTTCTGAATATCTGATATCTGAATAATCAACCCAGGAGTACATAACACTGACTGCCTGTGAGTCGCAAGTAGGTTAACAGTCACATCAAACCATCTCACTACTGTGTGAACAGGGGTACATTGTAGGTTAAGAGTCACATCACCATCTCACTACTGTGTGAACAGGGGTACATTGTAGGTTAACAGTCACATCACCATCTCACTACTGTGTGAACAGGGGTACATTGTAGGAAAACAGTCACATCACCATCTCACTGCTGTGTGAACAGGGGTACATTGTAGGTTAACAGTCACATCACCATCTCACTACTGTGTGAACAGGGGTACATTGTAGGTTAACAGTCACATCACCATCTCACTACTGTGTGAACAGGGGTACATTGTAGGTTAACAGTCACATCACCATCTCACTACTGTGTGAACAGGGGTACATTGTAGGAAAACAGTCACATCACCATCTCACTACTGTGTGAATAGGGGTACATTGTAGGTTAACAGTCACATCACCATCTCACTACTGTGTGAACAGGGGTACATTGTAGGAAAACAGTCACATCACCATCTCACTACTGTGTGAACAGGGGTACATTGTAGGAAAACAGTCACATCACCATCTCACTACTGTGTGAACAGGGGTACATTGTAGGTTAACAGTCACATCACCATCTCACTACTGTGTGAACAGGGGTACATTGTAGGAAAACAGTCACATCACCATCTCACTACTGTGTGAACAGGGGTACATTGTAGGCTAACAGTCACATCACCATCTCACTACTGTGTGAACAGGGGTACATTGTAGGTTAACAGTCACATCACCATCTCACTACTGTGTGAACAGGGGTACATTGTAGGCTAACAGTCACATCACCATCTCACTACTGTGTGAACAGGGGTACATTGTAGGAAAACAGTCACATCACCATCTCACTACTGTGTGAACAGGGTACATTGTAGGTTAACAGTCACATCACCATCTCACTACTGTGTGAACAGGGGTACATTGTAGGGTTAACAGTCACATCACCATCTCACTACTGTGTGAACAGGGGTACATTGTAGGAAAACAGTCACATCACCATCTCACCACTGTGTGAACAGGGGTCACATTGTACTGGCTAACAGTCACATCACCATCTCATCTCTACTGTGTGAACAGGGTACATTGTAGGTTAACAGTCACATCACAATCTCACTACTGTGTGAACAGGGGTACATTGTAGGTTAACAGTCACATCACCATCTCACACCACTCACTGTGTGAACAGGGTACATTGTAGACTAACAGTCACATCACCATCTCACTACTGTGTGAACAGGGGTACATTGTAGGCTAACAGTCACATCACCATCTCACTACTGTGTGAACAGGGGTACATTGTAGGAAAACAGTCACATCACCATCTCACTACTGTGTGAACAGGGGTACATTGTAGGTTAACAGTCACATCACCATCTCACTACTGTGTGAACAGGGGTACATTGTAGGCTAACAGTCACCATCACCATCTCACTACTGTGTGGACAGTCACATCACATTGTAGGTGAAGAGTCGCTTCACCATCTCACTACTCTGTGGACAGGGGTACATTGTAGGTTAACAGTCACATCACCATCTCACTACTGTGTGAACAGGGGTACATTGTAGGTGAAGAGTCACATCACCATCTCACTACTGTGTGAACAGGGGTACATTGTAGGTTAACAGTCACATCACCATCTCACTACTGTGTGAACAGGGGTACATTGTAGGTTAACAGTCACATCACCATCTCACTACTGTGTGAACAGGGGTACATTGTAGGTTAACAGTGGCATCACCATCTCACTACTGTGTGAACAGGGGTACATTGTAGGTTAACAGTCACATCACCATCTCACTACTGTGTGGACAGGGGTACACATAGTAGGTGAAGAGTCACATCACC